TACATACATGAATACCATATAAGGTAAAGTTTAAATTAAAATTGAATACAGTTAGTTTTGAGCGTATTTAGTAAATGTTGTAGCGCGTCGAGTTTAATAAACTTGTTTTGCTTTTTGGGGTTATTTTTAATAGGGCGACGCGAACTTTCGGGACACCTGTACCTTTTTAAATATTCATTTACCGTAGAGCGACCTATAACGATATGCATCGCGGGAGAAAGCTCCTAATTACCATCCCAAATGCGATAGTTGTGTATACAACAAATTGAAATCGGAAATTACCGCATTTAGTACAGTATTTAGCTGATACATTAATATGCAAACGAGGTTCCGTGCATTGGTAACGTGTACCGCACGTTTCGTGTAAACGCCTTGTGCCGAAATATTACTTGCTACGTTCAAGGAAACTTCAATTAAATCTATATTTAGTATGCTACGGAATAATTTAAGACTACATATTAATTAATTCTTAAAAGTACAATTATAACGTTTTAATATATCTTACTTAATATAATTATTACCTTAATTTATACAGGGTGTTTCATAATATATGCGCAGGACTTGAGGATGTGATAGCTTGTTCAAAAATTTATAACAAAAGTTACCTCCTGTCAAAATAACAATTAGTTTGTACCTGCAAAAAGTAAACTTGTATTACAAAATTAAAAATGGACACAAAGAATACACAAACGCTGAAATGTGCGAAATGCACTACGTTTACGGAATGGCGTGCGGTAATTCGGCAGAAGTAAGGCGGTTGTATCAAGAAAGACATCTTGATCGCCCAGTACCACACCATAACTTGTTTCTACGCATTCACCAACGACTATGGGAAAATGGAAGTTTTAAAAGGAATACTGCTGATAATGGGCGGCGTATGGACGTTGCAAATCCCCAAGTAGAAGAGGCTGTCCTCAACTAAATTGATGAAAATCCGACCACAAGTACCAGAAAAATTGCTCACAACTTGTATGTATGTATGTAAGCGTGGAGTGCGTAATTTTTGCGCTCGCACTTAGGCCCCAGCGGGCCCCTTGTGCATTCTCCCTTGGAGGCTTGAGGTGGAATGAGAAGGTATCTCGTTAGGTGACGATGCCGCTTACTCGTTGCCAATGACGAGTTACCGCCGCCCCAACCCCCCGACCCACACTTCATCTCGGCCGCAGCCTGGCGGAGCGCACGGCTAGCTCAACGTCCTGGCGGAGCGCACGACTTGCTCAACGGCCTGGCGCAGGTCCGATCAGCATGGGCGTGGGGTCAGAGAGCGCTCACGCGCATTCGTCCCTATAAAGTCAAGCCTCACACACATGCATGCTGCTAACGACAACCAGAGATTGACGACTGGTTGCCGGGACCGACAGCTTAACGTCCCCTCCGAAGGACGGGGGGCGACTCAACGTGCTTTCACCGGGGTTTGAACCCGGGACGTCTGCGTGTTAACCCGAGAGCTAACACGCTGAGCCATCACGCCCCCTTGCTCACAACTTAAACCTATCTCACTCGAAAGTTTGGAGAATTTTGAAAAGGCAATTTTTGGATCTTTACCATATCCAAAGAGTACAAGCCTTATTGCCAAGAGATTTTCCACCAAGATTGGCCTTTTGTACACATTTGTACTCGAAAATGGTCATTTTAGTAAGTTGAAAGAAACTCTTTTTCAAATTTTTGGACAAGCTATCACATTCTGAACTGCGCATATATTATGAAACAACCCTGTATAATGATCTTATCAGCACTGATAAGGATTTAAATAGCTCACTTATTCAGGAAATCATCAAAAGCAGCGATGTCACAACACTACGAGTTTTGCAGAATTTTGCACCATGTTATAGCTTTTAAAATTTGAATAAAATTGTAGAAATAAGTAAGTTCTCTTCATCTGATGGAACTCACAATTAGCCGAAGTCGCTTGCAGCTGATGCTCTACATTAATCGCGCTTTATCCTTAACTGTATAAAAACCTGAAGACGCACGGCTAAACCCGAATATTTCTAGTTCTAGGTCTAGTGTTAGTTCTACTTTTAGTTCAACAAGGATATACAACAATCTAGCACTGAATAACAATTAAAACTAGAACTAACACTAGACTTAAAACTAGAAACATTCGGGTTTAGCCCCACGTCTCTTAAGACGGCTAAACACGAATGATTATAGTTCTAGGTCTTGTTTTACTTCTAGTTTTAGTTCAACAAGTATATACAACAATCTAACACTTAATAACAACTAAAACTAGAGCAAACATTAGCTATAGAACACTAGACCAATCTGGGTCTGCTGACCAATAAGTAAGTTTGCGTGTTGACAGAAGACATATTTTTGCCAGTTGTAAAACACTAAAACTGAGGCTCTACAACCGAGCTAAATCAAGTTAAAATTGAAGCTGCTGGAGGCCGAGGCGCTACAATATATACAGTTGCAAGGGGCTGGAAGTGAATGTGGGGAAGACAAGGATGATGAAGTTTTGTAAGGGGGGGAGAAAAAGAACAGAAAACTGGAAATGGGAGGGAAAAGAGATCGAGGAGGTTAGGGAGTATACTTACTTGGGGTATGTGTTCAGGGAGGACAACAGGGAGGGGTCGCATGTGATAGCTATGGCAAAAAAGGCGAATAAGGTGATGGGACAAGTATGGGGTTGGGGGAAGAGAGTTTTTGGAAGGAATGTGGCAGCGAGGAAGATTATGTTTGAAGGCCTGGTTAGCAGTGTGATGATGTATGGAGCAGAGGTATGGGGATGGAGAGAGCAGGCAATGCTGGAGGACGTGCAAGCTAGATACTGGAGATGGGTGCTTGGGGTGGCGAGAGAAACACCGGGGTATATAGTGAGGGAAGAGGTAAAGGTGGATAAGGTCAGAGTGGAGGGGGGCAGGAGAGCAGTGAAATATGAAGAAAGAATAGAAGGGAGGCCAAACTGCGGGATCTTGGGGGAGTGTTGGAGGGAAATTAGAGAGGGAAAGATCAGATATGGGAAAGGAGACAGAGACAACTATTATAGACGAGCGGGCTACTCGGTAACTGAGATAAATAGTAGACGAAGGGTGGGTAGGGAGATGTGGAGGGAGTTGAGAGATAGGGACCGAGATGTGCAGAGACAGGAAAGAAGGACACAAATAAAAGAGGGGAGGTATAACGAAAGGTACAGGGACATAATTACGGAGGGGCTGCCTAGATACTTGTTATTGGAAGGAGATGAGGAAGGGAAGAAGTTGGTGGCTAGGTTCCGTTGTGGAAACGAGGAGAGAGCGAACAGATACTGGATGGCCGATGAGGAGAGGTGGTGTAGGCTATGCAGGGAGGAATGGGAAACGTTGGAACATATGTTGAATGGGTGCAGTGAGGTGAGGGAGGAGGAGTTGGACCGAGGGCAGATCTTAGGAGAGGGGGGAGAGGGGAAACGATGGATGAGAATGGTTGTGGGGGTGAGGAGACAAAGGGATGGATGAGGGGAGGATTGGGCTGAGGAGCCGAGGGTATGGAAACGGAGGAAGAGGGTGGAGGGTGAAAATAATATACTAATGACATATATTATATTAGGATGTATTAAGGGGAAAATTTTGATTTTCGTCTGCAGTAGAAAAATTTAAATATATTTGTTTAAATAATTTGATTTTTCATAACACAGAACTTTTTTTAATAATTAATGTGAATAAACACTCGTAGAGCGGGATGATGTCTGTGTAAGTGTTTGATTGGAGATAATCGTATACGATATATACGTCAGACAAGATTTACGTTGTAACGTATCTTATTAATTATTAAGAAAGGGAGTAATTTATTCTGACATGGGTTTCGAATTACGTCTACAAAGAGTACGTTTTTGGGGTTGCAAACTTTTAATTGTTCAGTGTTAAAGTGTCAAGTTACAAACGTGTTTATGTCATCATTTATAGATAATTCTTTTTATTAATAAAAATCATTTTGTAGTTTATAATAAACAAGAATTGGAAACAATTCTGTGCATATTGTACAATCGGGTTGAAATTAATATTATGGTAATGCATGTGCACTAATCAGCATAATGTTAATAGCAATTATTATAATAATAGTAACGGGTGGGTTGTATGTAAAAGTTTGTTCGGCAATTAAACCAATTAAACGTTTGAATTTGTATCGAACGGTCGTAATTTAAATGTCCAGGTGGAATACAACAAATTTATGATTGCGACAAACGACTTTTAAATGATATTTCTGCAGGGTTTGAATTGAATTGAATTGAATTGAATCTATTTTCTATTGGTTAGCAAATTTGTCGACGACAAAGAACTTTACTACAGTGTATTTAATTAAAAGTTCGTCTCAACTCCTTTATTGTCCCGTACCGGAACACTTCTAATCGCAAAACTTGCCGCACTCCTTTTATTAAAACTTGCTCCCGTTGTTTCCGTCCAGATATGGACGTCTAAAGGACACCCTCAAGGGGAGCACTCAGGGTATTTACCCGCCTTTTTCTTTGTCCCCATTACCCCCAATTTTACCCCCGAGGTCTGAAACGTTTCTCTCTCACATCGGTACCAAGAATCATTTACTTTTATCCCCCTTCCCTTGAAGCCCGACGGCAACTCTGAATCTCCCGTGCCAAGTTCCTTTTTCTCTTCTTATGAACGGCAACGTTTAACCTTCAACTACAACCGAGTTGAGTTGAGCTTCGGAGTCGTTTCACCAACGGTAGTATTTCCCTAGATTACTCTCCCGTCGCGTTGCGTCTACGACGCGACGTTATACCTCTAGGTAAAGAGGTGCAGGAAGCCGGGACAATTCAACAGGCACACCGACGGAACACAATGGCTCGGAAGGATGGCGTAAACAAAAGCCGAGACGCGCACGTGAGACGCAATTGTAATTTCAACGTGATAGGACCACCCGCACAACTCTTCTTGTTCTACTCCCTTAGGATCGTAAATTACACCAAGGATAATTGTGGAACGTCAGGATTTCGTAAAATTTTTAAATTTTAATTCGGTATTAATTATTTTTCGGAATTATTAATTGATTGCGGTGTGGACATCTAACTGTAACATTTATACCAAGTGGGGTGGAAGATACTTAGAAATAAGAAGATTAGAAGATATCCCTAAAAAGGAGGATGAGACACATGCGTAATGAAGGTTTATTTTTTTTTTCTAACACTTATTTTTTTTAAACGCTTACTTTATAATACACTTAATTGTTTCATTTTGTTATTGTTGGGTTGAATTTGCTGTGTTATTCTTGGTTGGTTCACTTGTTTATGGGATCGGTGGGGTTGTCTGTTGCTCATTTAAATGTAAGATCTTTATTGCCTAAACTAAATGATATTGACTATTTGTTGCGTAATTATAATTTTGACATATTTTGTTTATCTGAGACGTGGTTGAGCGGAGCTGTTCTTGATAATGCTCTTAACATAAATGGCTATACCTTCTTTAGAAGGGATAGGGATGGTCGTGGTGGTGGGGTAGGAATTTACGTAAGAGCTGATTTGCACTGTGAGTATATTCCGTGTCAGGGCGATTATGAGCAGGTATGGGTTGCAGTTAAGGACAAAGGTAAAAAATATGCCTTTGGATGTATTTATAGACCTCCTTCTTTTACTAGTTCTATTTTTATTGTTCAATTAGAGGCTCAATTGTCTGATCTTCGTTTGAATTATGATTTTGTTGCTTGTGCTGGTGATGCCAACATTAACTTGTTGAACGAAGAAATAAGTGAGGCTATTGAGTTAACTAATGGTCTTCGGGCGGTTGGTATGTTGCAGCTTATATCCGATCCTACCAGAGTCACGGAAGCTACGGCAACCCTGTTAGATATCATTGCGGTTTCGGATGAGCTGGGGGTGACTGATTCTGGTGTGATTAATTCAGATATTTCTGACCATGATTTGGTGTTTTGTCGTCTGAAATGTGAATCTTTGAAACCCGTGCCATTTATGCATACTTATAGGGATTTCTCACAATTTAATTATGAATCATTTTTTGCTGATCTACGCGCAATTCCCCTTCATCATATGTTTCACATGGAATTGGAACAAAAATTAGAATTCTTTAATGAAACCTTATTAAATCTTATCGATTGCCATGCACCAATGCGTACTGTAAGAATCCGTAAACCAAAGATGCCCTGGTTGACTGACAATATCGTCTTACTACAAAGATTGAGAGATGAGGCTAAAACAAGGTACAAAAAATGCAGAACTGCTGGGTCTTGGGATTATTACAAGCAATTACGAAATTTCACAACTAATGCTATCCGACACGAAAAGATAGCATACTTTAATAATTTACATACACGCACGGATAAAAAAGAAATGTGGAACACTATTCGTGGATGTCATATAGGGAGTAAAAAGTCGAAAGATATACCGTCTCATCTTTCAAACGTAAATCAGATAAATAATTCATTTGTTGGTGGTACTCCTGACGTCAATATTAATAACATAAAGGATACGATACTATTTTACTCAAATAACAGCTATAGCGATACGAATACACCCTTTGATCTTCACACGGTAGATGAAGATACTGTATTTGGCATTATCAGGTCAATCACCAGTAAGTCTGTTGGCTCTGATGGCATATCTGCGCAGATGATTGAATTAATAGTTCCTTATGCCCTTCCATATATCACACATCTCATAAACAGCTGCATAATTGAGTCACATTTTCCCTCGCAGTGGAAGTCTGCTGTGGTCATTCCAATACCGAAAATCGAAAAACCTACTGACTTTAAGCACCTGCGACCGATTTCTATTCTTCCTACCTTGAGCAAAGTACTGGAAAAAGTTATTTCCTACCAATTTAAAAACTTTATTATTTCAAATGATATATTACCAGACTGTCAATCGGGATTTGTGCCTGGACGTAGTTGCACAACTGCACTTTTAAATGTCACTGACGATATATTAAAGGCCAAAGACGGTAAAGAGTGCACCGCTTTAGTGTTGTTGGATTTTAGCAAAGCGTTCGATGTTGTTGACCATGATATTGTGCTGTCGATGCTTCACTATATTGGAGGCGGGGAGGAATTTATAAGGTTGATTAAGACGTATTTAATAGACAGATGCCAATGTGTACAGGTCAATGGCTTAATTTCTGAACCATTGAAGCTGAAGCGTGGAGTACCGCAGGGGTCGGTGTTAGGTCCTTTGCTGTTTTGTTTATACACATCTATGCTTCCAAAAGCTGTCAATTATTGTAAAATTCATATGTATGCTGACGACACTCAGCTATACTACAACTTTCCGTTTCGTGAATATGAGGGGGCAGCATGGAAAATTAATAAGGACTTAGCGAATGTCAGTGAATTTGCAAAGAATCACGCCTTGATATTAAACCCTGATAAAAGTGTAGTTATTCTGTTTGGCAGAAATGTGGAAGTCGAGAAATTGAAAGCTAATCTGATTCTTAGGTTGAACGGTTGCAATATACCTATTGTTGATCAGGCAAGGAATCTTGGGCTAGTTGTTGATAATGCCTTTAGGTACAAACAGCACATTACTAAAACATTAAGTGTTTGTTTTTTGAAATTAAAATTACTCTATTCTTTCAAAGATATTTTTAATTTAAAAATGAAAAAGGTGCTTTGTGAATGTTTTGTACTGTCTTTGCTTAATTATTGTATTCCTGTCTACTATCCATGTTTGGATTCCATGGATAGATTGAGAGTGCAAAGAGTGCAGAACGCTTGTATGAGATATATATTCAGAATTAAAAAATTTGAAAGGATCTCTCATAAGCTTAAAGAGTTAACTTGGCTGAATATTCACTGGCTCGCCTAATTATTTGAGTAAAAAGATTTCCACCTGTTTTGTATTTAAGTTATTTTTCTTTTTAAATATTGTTTTTTTTTTCTTTTTTGATTAACTTTATTTTGCATTATAGTAACTATAGTTACTATTATTATTGTTTGTTCTCTTTACTCTGGAAATAAAGGCAGTTTATTATTATTATTATTCGTTCCCGTTAGAAATAAATGGAACATTTAAAATGGAAACGTCCGAATATGACATGACAGAGTATAACAAGCGCCGAACTAATAGGTTTCGCAGTGCGAATGGGGACGATTCGCTACGCGTTTAGTAAAAACGTGAAATTTCGAGTCAAATATTAATTTGATTTCTCTGGTGCGCAATTACGAGGGGTTTGATTGAATTTGATTGCTGTCGCCGTTTTGACTTGTACCGAGTTGAGAGCGATTTTCGATGTGGGAAAATTGTTCGGAGGCGCGCCTGGATCAATAAATATTTAGCGGTGGTCACCTGCGCCCGAACGTGCGGTCCGCCGCAGGCCGCACACCCGTTTCCGGAATAAAAGCTCACGCGAGCTCTAAAAGCGCGAGCTTCCGATTTACGCGTACTTAAACAAACGCTGTTTATACAATAGAGTGCCGTAGGTTCCCGATTAACCGATTTAGCGCTATTAAATAACTAAAATGGAATAGAGAAAACGTTGATAATTAGAAAATATAATTGGAGACGCGTCGCGACGAAGAAAGTCTTCGAAGAAATTAAAAGGGTACCGAAGCGAGAGCAAGCACAATTAGCAGTAGTAGAACTTTGTTCCGCTTGGCTCGTTTACAAATTATATCAGAAACGCGTTCAGACATTAGCCTCTTTTTCCGGGATGTTCTAATTACTGCAGGGTGTAAATTTCGCGCTCTGACTATTTTCGCAAGCGTAAAAGTTTTGAACACGCTCGCATTTATGTTTAAATTGTATTCTTAAACATTGCATTGTTTTTTTTCGGTGTTTTTTAATGGGGTCCGCCTTAATTAACCCATTAATTAAGGGCGAATTAACGCAGAAAAACCGACTCGAAGGGGGAAGAAAGGCTAGTCGATAACTCATTCGCGACGAGCCTTTGGGCGGTTCCATTGTGGGATGGAAAAACAAAAGAACAATGGGGGGGTCTTGTCGGGCGGCGGACCGCCGGATTACGAACTATTGGCTGCCTGTTGAATCGATCCCGAAATCCGGGCCACTTTACGGGCTTCCGCGACTAGACGACACAATTAATAATCTGAACCGAAGATATTCCGATATTCTAGATATTATTTTGTGATAACATTCCACTTAACTATAATATTAATTCTATTTATTCTTTATATACCGGGAATTTCATATAACTCACAATAAATAATTGCAGTAACCATAAATGTTACGAATGTTTCTAGTTCTAGGTCTAGTGTTAGTTCTAGTTTTACACTAGCACTGTTACTATGTAGAACTAACACTATACCAAGAACTAGAACCATTTGGGTTTAGCCGCACGTCTCTAAAGACGGCTAAATCCGAATGATTCTCGTTCTTGGTATAGTGTTATTTCTAGTTTTACACTTGCACTGTCACTAGAACTAGCATTAGACCTAGAACTAGAAACATATGCGTTTAGCTGTACGTCTCTTAAGACGGCTAAACCTGAATGATTCTAGTTCTTGGTCTAGCGCTGCATAACAATTAAAACTAGAACTAATACTGGACGGCTAAACCCGAATGATTCTAGTTCTCGGTCTAGTATTAGTTCTAGTTGTACACTAGCACTGTTACTATGTAGAACTAACACTATACCTAGAACTAGAATCATTTGGGTTTAGCCATACCTCTTTAAAGACGGCTAAACCCGAATGATTCTAGTTCTAGGTATAGTGTTAGTTCTAGTTTTACACTAACACTGTTACTATGCAAAACTAACACTATACCTAGAACTAGAATCATTNTCAGAAATTTACGCCGAATTTCCCTATTTCGAAAAGTCGAAAACTTCATTTCTTTAAATGGCACCCCCAATTTTTTTCTTCACCAGCGTATTGTACGCTGGAAAATAAGGGAACTTTGTCATTACATCCTACATCCCAAAATTTCATTTGTTTCAAGTTTCTACGAAAACCATACATTTTAGATATAGCGATGTAATGACAAAGTTCAAACCTTGAGAATATTTGGCCGGACTCGAGTGTAATTTAGAAAAATTATATTTATTGTGAAGGTTTGCCAAAATTTTCGAAAAAACTGAAATAATTCAAAAATGGTGCACTCTAGACATATGATGACTTATATCAAATTATATTAAATTTTAGCGGGGATCCCGAAAAATAAGCGGAAGTTGAAGAAAACTGAAAATATTTTAGCTGAAACGAGCACCTCGGATAAATCCTCTATGCAAATTTTCTCAAAAATAGTGCCAGCAGTTTACCAGATACAGGTGTTTCATTTAAAACTCTCAGGCCAATTATCTCTAGAATAGGTTGAGATATTTTAGTTTTGCAAGAAGTTTTTAACAATTTTTTTATTAGATGTATGTGATAGAACATTGAAAACTGCAACTTTCATTATTAGCAATTATTTCAAAACTTAGTAAATTCGAAGATATTTAATTGGAATTATTTGTAGAAACCAATAAGATGGTCACAACATTATTTTCTAACATAAATAACAAAATAAAATCAAAATAACATGTTAGGCTATCAAATAAATTTTTCACCATAATAATAATTGGTAAAACGAAAAAAACCTATAATAGCTGTTCAAAATTACTACCATTTTCATGCACGCACAATAAAAATGCACCTACTAAAAAGTTTGTGTTGAAGGGAAAGTTCCTTTTGACTGCAACGGCACCTTTATTTTTGTACAATGCAAAATAATAATACTGAAGTCATTTACGAACTCTAACAACCCAGAAATACTTAGCCTGGGAGTTTTAAATGAAACACCTGTATATATACACTGAGGGAAATTATTCTTGACTCTCAAGAAGAATTTATTCTTGAATGTATTTCTTAGAAACAAGTATAAAATACTCTTAAAACAAAAATATTTTTTTGTTTTAAAAATAGAAATATTATCGAATGAAGTATATCATATTCTTAGCATCGAAGAATATCAATTTTTTGTATCAAAAAATTCATTCTTGCGTCAATAATTTATAAGACTCAAATGAAGAATTATACAAGATTATTGTTACACGAATAAGGTTTTCTAAAAAGAAAGATACGTTATTCTTAACTTAAGAAATCTATTCTCGATACGGAAATGGGATTGTTGACGCAACACTAATTCAAGATTATTGATTTATTATTATTATAGCTGTCGGGCTGAGGAGAGCGGCCCCTCTCGTTACCGCGACCTATAAGATCTATTGTAACTTTAGCCCTCCAAAGGTTTAGGGCAAATGTATTTCCTTAATGAACCTTAGTATTGTCCTGAGGTCTTGAACCTTTATGTCGGTAGGTAACAGTTTCTGACTCGTCGTTGCATAGTCGACAAGTTTGATCCTCAGCTTGTCCAATGTGGAAGAGGTGGTATTTTAGGGGCACATGGCCGGTCAGGTAGCCTGAGAGCGTTCTTAGATCCCCTTTGCTGAGGCATAAAACCTCTTTGGTTTTGTTTTGCGACGTATGATTTGCGACGGAGTTATCATACTCTTCGCTTGTCTGTGACCTGGAAGTTCTTTCCAGCGTAAGGCTATCTTTGAAGCCTCCCAGTTGTTGATTGTTTGTTTTAGGTGGCTTTTTTGTAGTCCACATTCAGGTTGGGGTCCAATGAAGGGCGTGTTTGCTGCCTCTTTGGCCAGCTTGTCGGCCTTCTCATTGCCCTCAATGTTGCTGTGACCTGGAACCCACCATAGGGTAACATCATTACCCCTAGCGAGTTCTCTCAGGTTGTTGGTACACTCTCTGATCAGTGCGGAGCCACACGTGTTGGCCTGAATTGCCTTTAAGGCGGCCCGACTGTCTGTGAAATGTTTACGGATGCACCTTTTTGTCCTTTCTGTAGGTTGAAAGCGGTGCAGAAGTTTATAGCAAGAACTTCTGCTTGGAAAATTGTTAAGTTCGAGCTGAGGGGCAATTTGATGTGGCTATTTGGTCCACTGATGCCCAAATCATGTCCACTGAAGATTATTGATTTACTTTCACTAAGAATTCGTTTTCTTGAGAATCAAGAATGTTTGTATACTTGCTTTGAGAATATGTGGTGTTTCTTCACTCAACAAAATGATCTTCTTGTGGATATACAAGAATATGATAAGCTTGAGCCAAGAGTAATAATCTTCATTCAAGAATATATTTTTCTCAGTGTAGAACTAACATTAGAACTAGAAACACATGCGTTTAGCTGTACGTCTCTTAAAACGACTAAACCGATTTTAGTTCTTAGTCTAGCGCTGCATAACAAGTAAAACTAGAACTAAGACTAGACTTAGAACTAGAAACTTTCTAGTTCTAAGTCTAGTGTTAGTTCTAGTTTTACACTAGCACTGTTACTATGTAGAATTAACACTGTACCTAAAACTAGAATCATTTGGGTTTAGCCGCACGTCTCTAAAACGGGTAAACCCGAATGATTCTAGTTCTAGGTATAGTGTTAGTTCTAGTTTTACACTTGCACTGTCACTAGAACTAACATTAGACCTAGAACTAGAATTATTTGGGTTTAGCCGTACGTCTTTTAAAACGGCTTAATAACTTTTAGGCAGAACAGAGTACCTACTCCTTTCATAAACCCAAACTGTACGATTTTCAAGTATAGCTTTACCATCTAACTCATGAAGCTGATGGTTTTAAATAAATTGAGGCATTTCTAGTATAGTGTAGATGTTATTAAAATATGATTCATGACTTTAACTTCATCTGTTATCTGACACCTTATCGTTAAAATCTTTTTCGTCACTGCATTTAATTCGACTTCATTATTTATTTCGTCGGAATAAAACATGTACCTTTAAAGTTTCTCTACGTCTTTGATATTGGGTTTTTCTTAATCGAAGAAAATTTTTATGC